GCTGAGATGCTTACACACTCACTGATTCAGCTTTCCTCCTGCAGTCGGCATCATTGCATATGTTTTGTGAGATGGAAGAAGACTTTGTGGACCGATGTCGGACATATGGGCTAATGTTGGACTTGTGGGCTTGGGCAGCACTGGGTTGGGATGCTTTCTTAATGTACACTTACCCTTTATATAAAACTTTCTTTTATACATGAGTTTCTGTGGATCTGTTTCCCTAGTTTACCCAGACTGACACAGTATCTTACTGAGCCCTCTGTAAGGAGAACTGCAGGCAGCAGGGCTCTTTCCCGGCCCTGGGGTGGCGGGGGGTGGCGATGTATGCAGGCTGTCTTACTCAGCCCACACCCTCTTTTCTGAGCACTGCCTCGGCCCACCAAGAGGGTCAGGGCCACCATATTGGTGCTGCAATGACCTCTCTCCAAGGTCACAGCTGATGAACTGATTCAGGTCCCTCTTCTTGCTGGTGTCTGTCCTGGGAGTCTGTGGGCTGCCATGGAGCCACTCTCAGCCAAATAGTGAGGAGGACAGGAAGTGGCCCTCTTGCCCGCTCAGGAGGGGGAGGGGTGGCAAGGACTCTGGATGGGTGGAATCGAGATTTCCACACCAGCCTCTGGGTTGAGGATTTTCCACATTTAAGCACATGGCTTTGGGATCGCCGGGCTCTTACTCAAACAGCGTGTGCATTACCCAAGCCTGCGCACAACCCCCTTGTGCACTAGTTTCCCGTGCGCGTTATTTGCATGGCGTGTTGTATGCCTAAAAATACGGCCAAACTGGGTTCACTTCAAGCTTTGCTACCCATCAGCTGGGAGTCCTTGGGGAACGTGATGAGCTTCTCTGGGCTTCAGTTTTACTCATTTGGGAAGGGAAAGATGGGAATAACACCCACCTTTGCGAGGGGGTGTGGCTTTAAGACAACTCGGAGGAGTGGCGCTGTTACCACCATGGTGACTACAAGGGGGGTGATTTAGGCAGCAGCCTGCTCCTCTCCCACAAACCAGAAGGTCCCTCAAAAGTTCATGAGCTGGCAGCCCTGGCCCTTGCCCTCATCCCCCCTCCAAAATGGGACCACAAAGTCTCCCCACCCCATTCCACCCTGCGTGAAGATTTCTCTTCAAGCCAGAGTAGGGAGGCCTTTCTTGCTAATGGTGAGGAGAGAGTTCATGTTGGGTGGTAGCTAGAACTAGGACTCAGGCAGGGCTCGTGGGTTCGAATCCCCGTTCTCTAGCTGTAGGCCTGGGGCACATCTTTTCTCTCTGAATGTTTAGGCTCCTCTTACTCTCACCAATGCGAGCTTCACCTCTGCTCCCCAGAACGCTTGTGGAGATTTGATAGAATCGTCATGCTTCTCACTCAGGAAATCACCCCCCTGCTATCAAGTCTGTTCAGAGTCATAGCGACCGGATGGGACTGAGTAGATCTCCCCTTGCAGGTTTTTGACACTGTGACTCTTTGACGGGAGCACACAGCCTAATCTCTCCTGGCGGTAGGGTAAAACTACCACCCTTACAGTAAGCAGGCCAATGCTAACCCATGGTGCCACCAGGCCACCAGCACAGTCAGCACCTAACAGGTGCTTAATAAGTAAGATATCGGCATAGTGCGGTACAAGTTGGGCTGCCGACCGCAAGGTCAGCTGTTTGGATCTCCTGGCTGCTTTCCTGGAGAAAGACAGGGGTTTGTACTCCTGGAAAGATCTGCAGGCTCAGAACCCCCCAGGGGCAGTTCTCCCCTGTCCTATAAGGCCGCTGTGCGCCCTCATTGACTCGATCGGTGACCGTGAGTCCGGTTTCATTGGGTTGGCTAAAACGATGGCTGGTAAGCCATCGGCTCTTTGCTGGTATGGATGGTCCACGGGGCGGACGTTCCCCACGCCTGCTCTAGCCTAAGAGGGACTAAGGGAAAGGTCTGGTGGGCTCTTTCTTCAAACCGGCTGATGGACATCCCATGGACCCTGACAGTCTCATCTGTACCTGGGGACAGCCCAGGCCCTGGCGTGACTTGCTGAGGCCAGTTAGCAGGTTCAGCAACTGACACCCACAAAGCACCACCCTCAAAATTCACTGCCTCCAAGTCAATTCCCACTCACAGTCGACCCTCGAGGGCAGGGTAGACCTGCCACTGCGGATTTCCGAGACTGTGACTCTTGAAGGGAGCAGGTGGTCTTGTCTTTCTCCCACAGAGCAGGGGTCGGTTTCGAACTGCTGACCTTGTGGTGAGCCTCCCAACCTGTAACCACTAAACTACCAGGGCTCCTGGACCCCTCGCACATAGGATGACACTGTGACCGGGCCGGTCCCTGCTCTGTGTATCAGGGGACACGCTCCCCCTCCCAGCAGGTCTAGCCTCCCTTGTGGGCCACTCTGCCCGGCTGGCAGGGGCTGCTGTTCTGTGGGGCCTGGGGCTGCCTGGAGGACACGGTTGGGGGCCGGCTGTACCTCTGACTCTGGATGACGGTGAAGATCACACCGCCCAACAGCGCCAAGAACCCCAGAAACCCAGCCACGATGAGGCCCACGGCAGATGATCCTGACACGGTGAACACGGGGTCCGGTTCGATAGGGTCATGGCCGTTTTCGGGTTCTGCGGACCAAAGGAGACCAAGACTGAAGAAGGCCCGCTTGCTCCACCACCCCGCCTGAGGCCACTTCCGCCCTTGCACACCCCGTCCCCTCTCTCCCCTGCTTTCCACGGAAGTGGGTGGGAGTGGGTAGGGGGGTATTTTTAAAGTGCAAAACTGTGCTGAACGTCCCCTCCCTGCTGGGAAGGAGCCTGGGGTGGCTTCCAGCACCCAACCCACCTGCCCAGCCTCATCTCTCTCCCAGACCCAGGGGACCCACTCTATGCACTAAGCTTATCTCTCTCTCTCTCTCCTCCCCTCTCTCTCTCCTTCCCCCTCTCCTCTTCTTTCTCCTCTTTCTCCCCTCTCCCCTTTGTCCCCTCTCTCCCCTCCCCACTCTCTCTCCTCTCCCCTTCCCACTCTCCTCTCTCTCTCCCAGGCCTCTTCTCTCCCCAAAGGGCACACGGTGCTATCACCCCCACCTCACATTCCAGGGCTCCTCCCACCAGCTCTGTGGTCCCCTCTTTAGGAAGTCCTCCCTGATCTCGGACTGAGTCAGCCCGACAGGGATCTGTGAACCCCCCCACCCCACCCCGGCCCGCCTCCGTGGGGGTCACCACGGCATCCAGGACACCTCCCACATCCCATAACCAGCAACGGAGCACTGGATCCTGGCAAGTTCCAGAGTGGAACCGCCCCATGGAGGTTTTCATGGCTGCGACCTCATGGAAGCCAATCGCCGGGCCTTTCTCCTTTGGTCCCCGCTCACGTTGGGGTTTGTAACCACGCTCGGAAACTGGACACTCAAACATGCTCAGCACGCGTTTCCTGATGACTGCGTGAGTGAGTACGGCCCTCCTCAGGGTCACCAGGGGCTAGACACAGGAGCCCTGGTGGCGCAGCGGACGAAGCATTGGACTGTTGGTCGAAGGGTCAGAGGTTGGAACCCCCCAGCAGCCCCCGTGGAGAGAGAGTGACCTATTTCTATAAAGGGTAGTGATCTACGCTTTATGTACAACTCTCTCTTATACACCTATGAGTTTCTGTGGATTTGTTTCTCTAAAGTACCCAGACTAACACCCAGGAGGCAGTTCAACAGCGTTGCTATGAGTTGGAACCAATGGGAGAGTACGGAGGTGGGGTGTATGTGTGTGTGTATTGTTCCTGTGGTTATTAGACAAGGGTGAGTGACAAAGTATGGCTGTTGAGTTCCACCTCATCCAACCCCAAACCAAACCCACCGCCATCGAGTCAGCTCTGACCCGCATGACCCTATGGGACAGGGTAGAACTGTCCCTTTGACTTTCCCAAAGCCTCACAGGAGCAGAAAGCCTTCCTTCCGCAGAGGGGCTGGGGGTTTCGAACAGCTGACCTCGTGGTGAGTAGCCCAAGACAAAACCCACTATGCCCCCAGGGCTCCTGCCAGTTTATCCTGCACAGGTCTAGTTCAAGCACCACCTGCTTAACCATGTCTCTGAGGTCAGTGGACGGCTTCAGACGTGCGCTCTCAGCTGTACACGTCCTGTCTTTTGAGAAATATAAATAAATAAAGGAATCGCGGGTCCAACGTGCTGTTTTTGAAGGTCAGCTAGCTCCAAGGGTTGATCTTTCCACCCGTCTTTTTAGGAAGGTCAAGGCTAATGATGGAGATGACTGGATGGAATGGATCCTGACTCCAGAATTACACTCGTAAACGGTTAATCGGCTGACAAGTAGCCCTGGGAGCACAGCGGTCAAGGAAGGCCCTTGGCCACTTACTAACCACAAGGCTGTGGGTTGGTTCGAATCACCCAGCTGCTCGTTGGGAGAAGGACACCCTGCTTGGTAAGGTAGAGGGGTCAGGGCCAAGGAGGAAAATCCTCGAGGAGATGGGCTGACACGGTGGCTGCAACAGTGGGCTCAGACACGAGTGTCAGCATGGCTCAGGGCTGGGGGTGGGGTTCATGCTGCTGTACCTAAGAGTTGGAATGAACATGACCCATCTGACAACCACTGCCTGCTTTGCTCCTTAAAATGCGTTCGCCCACACTTGGGTGCAGGCGCTGTTAGTTTGTCCATCTTACACGTTGAGGAACAGTGAGGTGCGGTGAGGCCTGGGCAGTCGTCCCAAGTTGCCCGGCCTGGAAGTGATGCATGAGGCTGGGATTCAAATCCAGGCGGCACTGAGTGGAGCGCTTGAGAGTCAAAGGGCCTTCTCGAGGGCACCTCACCAGGAGGTGGTTGGAGCAAGGACCCAGCTAGCCTGGTCCAGATCCTGAGTCAAGCTTTTCTCAGGGCCAGTCTCTTCGACCTGCAGCCTGTCATCTGGAAAATGGGCTCCCACCAGGCAGATGGAAGGAAGGAATGATACCTGGGCTGGGAAGTATGTCGTGTGTCCGAGGAGGCTCGAAGAACATGGCTCAGGGGAACCAGGGAGGCTGGCCACAGACCAGCGAGGGCAGAGGACTCTGCCTGGTGGGACTCACCTGCCATTGAGACCATCACGCTGTCAGTGAACACCTGTCCATTGCCGTCCTTGGTGGTGCACGTGTAGTTGCCCAGGTGCTCCCGGGACAGCCGTGGGATGATTAGATTTCGGAAGGACCCACGGGGTTTCCCATCCAGGCTCCAGGTCACCTCAGTGTCGTTTTTTGTGTAACACTTCAGGACCACCGAGTAGTTGAGTTCACACGTGACAACATCCAGGAAAGGGTCTGGGTACGCCGACACCCACATGTAGAAGGATGTGGCTGTGTGAACAGGCAGAGACCACTCAGGGAACCTGGCTGTATCTTCCCCTTAGCACCCATTCATTTCTTTATTTATTCACCGCCATGGCCCACACCACCCCATCCCCTCTTGCTGACTCCTTCCATCCTTATACCAGCCCCGCCTCCATCAGCTGAGTGCTGGCACTGGCTGCTGGAGCTTGTTCTGCACACGGAGGCAGCAGGACACACCACAGCTGGTAGCATTCCCCCAGACTCCCTGGCTTGGGCTTGGTATCTCACTACTCCAGCTGTCTGCCCACAGATGGCATCACACCTGTGAGTGCTCTAGCCTGGGCCCCTCAGCTCCCCAGAGGAGCTGGCATCCAGTGACACCCACACTGGCTACAGAACCCAGCACTCGTTGCTGCGCCCCCCTCCCCCCATTCCACATAGCCCAGTTCTCTACACTTTCCAGAAACAACTGCCTTCCAATCCTGACCCCCACCCCGTCCCCCTTCCATATCTGCGTCTGGGCAAAGCCTGGAGGTCACCAATGACCACAGTCAGTCCCTGTCTTCACGGAGTTGATGATCAAGTCGGGAGACAAGAAAGTGGCAAATAAAAATTGCGGCTCAAGGGAAGAGTTCTCTGCTTTCACACTGGTGGAGATGAGGAGTTGACTCCCCGTCAATGCACTGCCCATCTCTCCCTGGAGGCTTGTGTGTCCCTAGGGTGCTGAGCTGGTTGCAACTAAGAGGGTGTGATGGTGACATCCTGTTGTGTCAACTTGAAGCGTAGGGGTGGAGTCTAGCCTGTCAATCAGGTCACAGCCTGATGATGGCTTCTTGTGGGCATGACCTCCTCATAAGGAGGGTCCTGGGAACCTCCTACCCACCCCCTTTCTGCTTCACCTTCCTGCTGGTGAGCCACTCGGAGCCCTGGAGATGCACCCACCACCATTGGATCCTCAAGACTTTGCACCCACCGACCTGAGACCTTCCTACCTTCTGCATCATTGCTTGTGGCCGCGGGAAGAGGGATTCATAGTCTAGTATCAGACTTATGGACTAGCATCAGACTTTCAGACTTGATTTGGACTGGCCTGGGATGTTTTCTTGCCATCTGATTACTCCTTGATATGAAGCTCTTCCTTACACATGCATGAGTGTCAATTTGTGTCTCTAGTCAACCTGGCTGGCACCTGGTGACTGGCACCCCTCACTCACCCTTGACGTTGCTTTGCCCCGCGGCACTCCTGCGCTCCCTGCTGGTCTCCTGCAGCACAGCATCCTTCTCGGAATCCTGCGTGGTCACTTTTCGGATGACCAGGTTGCCTTGGGAACCCAGCAGCTCGTGGCCAGTGTGCCCGGGTCCCGGGAGGCCTTCAGGGGAGAGGATCATGTCTGGTGGCTGGGCCTGGCGGTCCCGGAACCAGGAAGGGGCAAGAACGCCATGGAGACTCCCAGGGATGGCCAGGTGGGCACTGGCTCCTTCATTCCAGGGTCCTGCCAGGGAGCAGGTGCAGGATGCAAGCAGGGAGCCTGGGGTGGGAGCCAGGGAGAGACAAGGAACGACGTGAACTGTCGTGCTCTGGTGAGGGCAACCAGGATGCTGATAATGCTCTTTGTTCTCCATTACGGACTGTGGCCCTGAAGCATCCTTCCCACCTGGACCTGAAGCCCTGTGCCCCGGGTCACCTGACAGGTCCACAGCCAAGGGGCCTGTTGAATGAACCATATCCACCCCGAGGAAACTGCTCTTCAAAACCGCCAAAGGGCAGTTTTTGTTCCCAAACCGAGCTTGGAAGGCAGCCAGGAGCAGGAAGGCAGGATGGATGGAAACCAGGGAAGTGGGGGGGGGGGGTGAGGTGGGCATGGAGGACAGAGGGGGAGGAGTACCACACTAGGGAGGGGAATCGCAACTCACCCCACGAAACAAAATGCCTATGGACCATCGGAACGATGTGTTGGAGTTTGGGATTTGAGTTTGCCCCCTACTTTTGCACCCAAATCATGAGCAAGGGGTCTGAAGCCAACACGGGTGGCTGTTATTGGACATCGAGTCAGTGGGTGGGATTGTCAGTTCTCACCAGTTCGGCAGGACTCACACGTCACTTTTCGTGGAGTTCAGTGAACCGGTGTGAGAATGGGCCCTGTGATTGGGGCTTTTTCTCAAGCGGGCGGCTGGAATGGAGACAAAATACATCGCCTGTTCCTCATCTGTGCGATGGCGCCTTCTAGGCGTCCCTAGTAATGTTCACGCCATCCGTTGGTACAAACTGGAGGTTCTCAACCTGTGGGTCCCGACCCCTTTGGGGGTGGAACGACCCTTTCACAGGGGTCGCCTAAGACCACCGGAAAACACTTATTTCTGATGGTCTTAGGAATGGAGACACAGGTCCTCTATCAGTCTCCAGGTGGGTATGGCCACATGCAGATGTGCCCACCTATGAGTACCCAGCATGAAGACTTGACCCATGCTACCCGGGCTTCAAAGCAAAATTTCATGGATTTGTCATTAGAAATAACTATCTCACAATATAGAATTACCTATTGTTTTGTGATGAACCATGATGCCTTAATTATGTTCCACTTGTAACAATGAAAATACATCCTGCCTATCAGATATTTACATGACGATTCAGCACAGTAGCAACATGAGAGTGATGAAGTAGTAACAAAAATAATTTTATGGTTGGGGAGTCACCACCACATGAGGAACTGTATGAAAGGGTCGCGGCATTAGGGAGGTTGAGAACCACCGGTATAAACCATTAGACAAAACCATGCTTGTAATATTTATTAACTCATTTCCTAAAACTTGATGAACGACATTTTTGCTCCCTTGTGTGTCAGTAAACAAACATCATGTAAAGAGGAAAAGTGCCAAATAAGTAGAAGGTGACACACAGTCATTCAGTTCCACTTGTGTTATCCCAAGTTTGTATTCTGCCCCAAGTTCCCATGACAAGGTATTCCTGAAAGATGCAATTCTTGAAAGTGTTCAGGGGGCTAAAACTATTGTCAGACCAATTGCTTTGCATTCAGCAGACGCGGAAAGGGGTTTTTCAAAGATGAACATCTTATGTTCAGAGAAGTCGCCTAGCTGTTTCTAATCTATCAAACACAATGAGGATTGTCTAATTGGCCTGCCTCTAAAGCAGCAGTTCTCAACCTGTGGGTCAAGACCTCTTTGGGGGTCAAACGGCCCTTTCACAGGGGTTGCTCGATTCATAATAGTAGCAAGATAACAGTTATGAAGTACCAATGAAAATAATTTGATGGTTGGGGGCTCACCACATCACGAGCAACTGTATTAAAGGGTTGCGGCATGAGGAAAGTTGAGAACCACTGTTGTAAAGGAGTGGGGTCCTGCTCCTACAGTGCAAAGATGGCTAACGATACATCACACACAGCGATGGTGCTTGGGTAAAAGCAAAGAATATTGCAAGTGAGGGTGCCAATCAGGAAGCACTACGGAAAGATCCGAAATAATAGTTCTATTGCTTTTTTTTTGCCAGGTTATTAGTTAATATTTTTTCAAAGAATATTTCACGACTCTTTCTTAGAACATAATCTATGTAAGTATGAACTGTATGAAATAACAAACTACCTTTCAGTCTATTGTTTGTTTTTCTGATTCTTTCCGTATATATATTTGCATACTTAAAATGGCTACGAGGGTAGCAAAGCAGTTGTTCAATTATTCAAATCCCGCCATTGTGGTGAGTCGATTCTGACTTCGGGCACCCCTGTGGGTGCAGCGTAGAACTGCGGCAGGGGGCGTTCAAGCCTGCAACCTTTTGGAAGCAGATTGCCTGCATTTCTTCCAAGAAGCTGCGGGGTGGGATTGAAGTGCCAACCTTTCGGAGAGGAGCCCAGCGCTTCCTCGTTGGTACAACATGTCCTCCCTGGGGTTCTCATAGGTGAAAACAGGCATCGGTGATAGAAATACAGTGAACCCTTTCGCGCTTCGACTTCCGCGGCTTCACTCTATCGCGTTTTTTGCGTCACAGCGCATGCTCTGTCACTACTGCCACTGATTGGCTCATACTGTACACGCTTGATGCCATAAATAATATAATAAATAATAAATGATCATTGTAACGTCCAAAATGTTTTACTGTATTTTCCCTTTTTCGTTTAATAAATTGGGTAATACGAGTGTAATGGTGACTAAAGGGTGTTTTTTCATGTCCTCTATGCTCTAACTACGAAAATATTTGATTTACAAATAAGGAATCCTACTTCGCGGAATTTCATTTATCACGGTACGGTCTAGAACCGATTAACCGCGATAAACGAGGGTTCACTGTAGAGGGAATGCTTGCTGCGTGCCCACACCATCCTGTGCCAGGCTCTGTTCCACATGCCGGATGCACCTGATGCCAGGCCCACAAGCGTGTGTTGTGATTGCACCGGGTGTCAGGGCCAGGGAGGATGGATGGGTTTGAAGGATGGCACTGGTGAAGACTATGCGATAGACCATGGACTTCCCAGAGAATGAACAGATCGGTCTCTGAGGAAGTATACCAGAATGCTCCTTCAAAGTGAAGATGGTGAGACTTCATATGTGTGGTAAAGTAGAGGGGAGGAGGAGGAGGAGGAGGAATAGGAAGAAGAAGACCCTCAAGGAGATGGATTGACACCATGGTGCAACGTTGATGTGAAGAAGGTGGGAGTTGGGGGTGGTCAATATCTATCGCATTTGTTTGCAAATGGAAGGATAGATACAAACAGGGACTACCAGTGTGTGTGTGGGGTGGGGGTGGGGGGCTGTGAGGGAGGTGAGGAACTGGTTGGATGGAGTTGGGGGAGACGTCATTGGAGACCTTTGTGTATATCTGGGGGCAGCGAAGGCCTTCATATGGCCCTTCTAGCTATATCCTTTGTGATTCCCACCCAATGATGGAGTGGGACTATGCAGATAAGGTGTTTAGAACCTGTAAAGGTTATGTGTCACCTTGGCTCAGCCACAATTTTCAGTAGTTTGGCAGTCATGTGACGATGTGTGTAAGAATGCTGTGGGGGTGGCGTTTGACCTCCTTTAACTTCACAAGAAGGGAAGGAAAAGCAGATCAAGGTCAAAGCCCAAGGCCGACTCTTCTGAACCAGAAGTCAGATGGGCCTCCATCTTTTTGTTTCTTTTTTTACCAACTCTGACCCTGGCTCTCCCTCCTAGGCCACTCTCTAATCCTCAGCTGGGGTCAATCATTTATCGTAATGACCACACAAAACACACAGCTATACTCATAACTATGGGAATTAATTGGGAAGCAGTAGGGAATTATTCTGCGGAGGCTGCAGAATCCAAAGGTGGGTGTTTTGAGCCCACCAGCAGCTCCGGGGAGAAAGATGGCAGCTGTTTACTTCAGACCCCGTTCAAGGGCTATCCTCAGCTCTCTGAGTCAGAACCACCTTGCAGTTAGCAAGTAATGCTTGTACAATGTGTCCTAGGGTAGGGGATGAGGTGCCTGGTAAATGATTGACAAGTGACTCTTGGCAATTAGTGCTCCCGCCTGGCAATTACAAGCACGAAGAGTACTGTCAACATGCCCTTTGAGGACCCTCTTGGAATAGCAAACTGGTAAGTGACTACATCGTAAAGATCAGAGACACTCCACCCAGGGAACAAAAAGCCAAGTCCAGAATCAGTGGGAAACATCAGCCTTCTCCATGGTGATGGGTGTGAAGGCTGGGCGCAGGATGGCAAGGCCTGTGGGCCAGGGACACCAGGGTTGGGCTCTGGAAGCTGGGATGTGGGATGGAGGCAGATAGAAAGACTTTGGCGGGCAGCTCCTGGTGACCAGCGTAGTGCCAGGACTTGGCCAAATGTCCCTCCACACCCATCACCTCATTGCTCTCCCTCAATTACTTCTGAGTTAGTGAAGCTGCCATTTTACAGGTTGGAAGGTTGAGGCAAGTGTGGGTCTCAGAACTGGTCCTAAGTAGAGAAATAGGCGGTGCTTTCCCCCCAGCCCTCCCCTCCTCATCGTGCCTGTGGGGGCTCACAATGGCTGCCCTCTAAAGCAGTGGTTCCCAACCTTCCTTATGCTGCGACCCTTTCATACAGTTCCTCTGTATGAACCAAATTATTTTCGTCCCTACTTCATCACTGTAATTCTGCTACTGTTATGAATCGGGCGATCCCTGTGAAAGGGTCATTCGACTCCCCAAAGGGGTTTCAATCCATAGGTTGAGAACCACTGCTCTAAAGGGATTAGGATGTTCTCCTGCTCATTAGCCTTCCATGGCTCCCCAGTGCTCTGAAGACACAGTGCAGCCTTCTTAGCCTGGCACCCCTGCTGCATCTTCGGCTCCCCCCACCATGCTCTCCTCATTCTCTGCATCCGGCAGGTGTGACTTGTCACAGTTGCTATGGCCTCCAGTACTTTGCCCATG